TGAAACATACTTTATCAAGAATGTTCTGCATTAGGCAGATCAAAATAGAGAAGCACAATTTTCTCCTCCATTCTCAATCAACCAGCAAACAGCCTACTGTCAATAAAAGAAAAGTGGAATGATAACATATTAGATATTTTGTATTAAATATTGTAATAAAAATAACTCAAGATAAATTTGGATACTTCAAAATGTTTCTTGTTTTCAGAATGACGACATTCATACTTTGGGGGCAGGGAGGGGATAAACTGATATCTTTGTAAGAAAGTCGATGAAAGTTCAACTGCTTAGAGAGCTTACGATTGGTTTCAGATAGATTTCAAAATTATTTGCATAGCAAACATCTGTTAGCCCTCAAAAAACCCAAACTACACAGAAAAGCCTCAGAAAGCATTTTATGCACTCAAACATTTTCTTAAGTAATCTACAGCAGACTCCTAAGGTTGTGCTCAGGAAGTGAAATTTTGCCCTTAGATTGAAAAGAGCTAGTTGACCCTCCTTGCCACCAAGTTACAGGTAGAGTATGATGTTGTTCCCCAGAGGTAGTACTTTCAGATAGTTCAGCATGGACTTCCAAAACATAACAGAGAATGGAGCTGAGACTCAGGAAACTCAGTGAGCACAAGACACAGGTAGCTGGTGGCCTCCACACATTCCACGTCCATGTTTTCACAGGTATGACTTCTGTTTAGGACAGCTCACATTTGTTTCTCTTCAGCTTGATTTCTTTTTCTCATTTATTGCTCAACAAGTTACACCATTTTTATTGGGTTGCCAAGTGACTGTTCTCCTCTGGATCAATGACAGCCAGCTCTGTTTTAATTAATGGTGTTTTAACTTTACAGAGCACTCCAAAACAATAGGTCTTGTTTTGATAGAAATCCGTAAGACAAGGAAAAACAACTTTTATTCTAGAAATATACATTATGCCTGTTTATAGTTTTAATTCATATGCATAGACACAGTTTTTATAATCTTCATTTGGATTCCTTTCATAATATATGTAAAACACAGAATAATTTTAATGTCTTACTTTGTAGGACGTGGAGACTAACAGATGTGCGATATTCTGAACGGCTCCATGGTTAAATAAGATTGTCTGATGATCTGGACCCTTCAAAGGAAAACATAAAACACGATTTATTTTTTTAAAAAGAACACGTAAGAGGTTTCTGCTATCTGCAACTTATTGTTAAGTATTAAAGGTAGATTTACTAACATTTACTCTGTAATCAGCTTGCATACCAACTTCTTCTTTTTTTTAAATAAACAAGTCCAACTCTTATTTTTATAGCACTTGTCCATTTCCGGTAATCATTTCAACTTTTTTCTTCAATAGGCAATGAAATTAGTATTCACAAATGAAGAAACATGGATAGAGTACTTATGTTTCTTATGTTTCTATTCTTCATACTGGAAACAATCAAAAGCTCCTGATTTTCTTTACAAATCATATAAAACATCCCCAGTTACTAATGTCTTCTTCACTGGTAATATTAAGCATTTTCAACAATTCTAACTTCAGAAGAGAGGGAATTAATTCTGAAACTGTTTCCAGACAGAATGTGACAGTGTTGTCACGAGAACACATTTTCCTCCTACAGATTATTTTAGTTTCAAACACATTTAGCCATAAATCTAGTCAGCCATCACCCATTTATTGACTTCAAGATCTAAGTTGGCAATGGCTGATACATCAATATTTTCCCAAGATTTAAAGAGCATTTGGAATTAAACACAAATACTGAATTTTGCAGTAGAAAGGTCTCAGAACTTCTGTAGTATGACAAGGCTCGATGAGGCTGGAAAAAACAACATGAAATCTCAATGGGGCCTGCAATGCTCAACAGTCCCTTGTGAAATCTGATCTGTGATTTACAAACATCTCTTTGGAAGCAGATTCATGACTCTAGTCGTCTTTGCATTAAGCATGGGCTATGCACAATTTAAGTTCAGCTTTTAGAACGTCACAGCATTAATCATACCTCAATGCATTTTCTTGACTACTCTGCAAGTGAAGAAACTATCTTCACTCCTTAATCTTTTGTTCAAACCCAGCTGAGTTTATGGGCACATCTATACACCCTAGTATGCATGAGTGACGCTTTATTTTCACATTTGAGATACAGCTGAAATCAGATTCCTCTTATATTCCAAAGAAAATTTTTAGAACATCCCTTGCCTCTAAGAAAAAAAGCACAAAATTACTTTTAGATGTAACATATCTGGTGCTTTAAGTGATGCTTCAGCTGCTACTGCCACCAAGAGCTTTCTACCAAAAAAATGCAATTAAAACAGCATGGTTGAAGTAGGAAAACAACTTACATTGGCACACAGAAGTGGCTGAGGCAATGATTTAAAGCCGCAGCTATGCCAGTGTTGAAGCTGAAGAACAGATATTAAAATATGTGAAAAAAATGAATGAAATTAAAGTAAAAGAAATCATACTGACCTAGATAGTTTTAGTAATTCACAAGTATTAGTGATTTTTCAATGAGATGCAGATGGTAAATTCTGTGCAAACAGGACAAATGCATGTACAGAGGTGACACTTGGGTGTATTCTTAGTTGCATAACTAGATGTACATGAAAATACCTAATCTGTACACATTGTGCTTGCACACACCAATCCAGCTTGTTTAACACACAATCAGGTTAAGCACTAACCCAGAAATAGGGACAGCTTCAAATATAATTGTGAAAACTTGAGAATATCATCGATCATTTCCAAGCAGCTCAGGCACCAATTTAATAGCAAGGCCTTCTGCTTTTCTTTCTCTTTGGGTATACCGACAGAGTCCCCAGGAGCCAGCCCTATTACAGTGATCTTTTTCTCCAAATATGATTGAGTCACATAATATTTCAGGAATAGAAATCACACTTCTCACATGATTTGCCATATCATGAAATGTCAATTTTCAACAAAGCAATACGATAGAACAATGTAACAATTCATTCCATAATGAAATTTTAAAAGCAGATATCTAAATGCAAATGTACCTTGTTTCAGGGATCCAGCACCAGGCCTAAGATCACACAAGAAAACATTCTCAGAACGGGCTTGGGAGGAAGCTGCCTTGATTACAGGCTTTATCCTGGATCTTTCCCAGACACAAGATTTTAATTTTCAACTGGTGGTGAAATTATTACTTACGTAGAGATGTCACCACATTCAAATATAAGTTCCAGAACTATCTTTTCAAATTATTCATACAACCATGTCTTTCCAAATGCACACCTTATCTTTTTAATTTGACCATTAAAATAGTAAAGTTTACCTACTCACATCACCTTCTCTGGAAACAAATCAACTGCGACAGAGAGAATCTTAAAACGTAAATTTTGACTTGCATTTTAGCATACCATGTACATCAGCCTGCTTTCAGTTTACTTATTTGCTTATATGTTGATAGAATCCTGGCTCCCTATGTCAAGAACTGCAGCTGCTCCCCCTGTAAATCAACACTTTCCCTTGCTTAGGATGGCTCTTCTCCAGGGTCAATGTTTTCTGACAGTTAATTTTAACTCTTAAAAATGCAGTGAGAAGCAGTACAAGCAGAAAACAGCAGCAATATGCTAGGAAGCTGAACTAAGGATTTCCTAGCTCAAGAGAACGAGTCTGAGCTTTTCCAGGAAAATTTGAGCAGGCCAGAAAGAAAGAAACCCAAGAAGCCCAACCAAAGACAGCTCTGGCAAGGAAGAGAAAAAATGGATGCCCAAGATCTAAGCGGAGAACAGTATGCAGGAACAAGAAGGGTAGGAGTGATGATATGTCACTATTAGTTTAATGAATAAATCTACTAAGACAAGGAAAAAGAGAAAAGCATCAATACTTCTTATAATACATGCTAAGCCTTACCTAAATATGAAAGCTTATAGTACTTTTTTCTTCAGAAAAAAATTAGAAAGGTTCTCTCGCTCATGGTCTTTAGGGGGGAAGATGGAGCCTTCATTAAAAATGTAGTGAATACTGAAATTTTCAGTAATTTTTTTAAAATTATACTTAAATTTCAGATTTTTTTTAAAAATTATAAAAAACATACTTTGCCTATCCATACAAATCAGAAAATCCCTCGCAAATTCTGCTTCATTGTATTAGATGTATTTTGTTATGTCTGAAAATACAGTAAATGACCTTGATAATCAGACTTGAAACTCAAGAACTAAACAAAAAAAGAAAGAAGGGGACATTTTTGGTTTTTGCTGAACAGCTGCATTTGCCTGGGCAAGAGAGAAATGAGTTCTTGATCAATTTAACATTTGTGATTATCTGTTTACTCAACCTCAAATATTTTTCTTTGTTATGCAGCTAATGTTTATTCAGTAAATGCATAAATACTCATACCCATCACCCTGCTTTTCTTGTGCATTCATGTTTCTATCTGTTCACGCAATCAACTTTTTTGTTCCAAAAACTTGGATTTTTCAAAACATTCACTACAAAATTTGTTCGAGAGAGATGTGGGGAGTGGAGGAGGCATTCAAAACAGTATACTGAGTTCGTAAGACCTTTCCTGCTCTACTCTTGTTAAGTGACTGGGCATTTGCTTTGTTAGCAATGTATTTGATATGTAAGCCACCAGGAGTTAACAGAGCTACATGGAAGTAACTCATTTGGAAAAAAGATGACAATAACTGTTTTCACATCGGATTAATTACCTGAAGTTACTCAGCAGTTCTCACATACCCAACAGGGTTTATATTGCTACAGTGCTAACCCCTGATTGCATAAACTGACTTCTATACCACCCTATAATCAGTCCTGTGTTATTTTTCTCTTAAGCCAACACGGCCTGATTTGTTACCTTTGTTCAGGTTATCTAGCCTATTAAGGAGGCTTTCAAGGGCCACATAAACATGACATGCCTCACTGGTGCATTTTTCTTCTTAAAATATCAGATTCTTTTTCCAATATTAGTTATAGATCTGAATTCCACAGTTCAGTGTAGGATTCTGTCTTAATGCTTTCTTTAAACAATACTATAAATATTAGCAGATGAGTTATACTTTTACAGCACTCTAACTCTACAGTGTTCAGTCCTCAGTTTCACTTAACAGAAAAAACACAATTGTGTGAATATAGAGAAATAACAGTCACGGTAGAGAAAATCATTTTTAACAAAGGAATAACTCAGAGTTCCAGAAGACTCATTGTAAGTGATAAGGTAGAAAGATATTTTTCCAGGTAAATACTTACAAACTCATAACTTTTGGAACTTTTTCATTTGTTAGTCTGGAAGATAAATATGATCTATAATCATTTAGTTTTAAAATGTTTCTAAAAGGGAAAGATCCTGTACAAATCTGATTTCTTACACTGAATTATTTTGATACAGTTACTGTATAACCCATGGATACAGTAACTACCAAAAAAATGAAACAATAATGCAAAACAGAGCGGTGTGTGGAAAATTGGAGAGGGCAGAAGGAAAGACAAAAGTCTCTGTGTTTGGGGTGGGGTTGCTGCTGGTTTTAAATTAGTTCTCCCATAACAAGAGAATTGCGTATATATAGCAGGAATGAACATGTATCTGGATAAACCTGTAATGGGTAGAGCTCAACTGACAAGAGCATTTTTCTTCCTCTCAACCTACAGAACCTCTCAGAAAATGATGCCTGGGTTTAAAACAGCTGTCTTGAAAGCAGATGCAAGATCTCTGCAAAGAGATGCTCATACTGTCTTCAGACTTTCAGAGGAAAAAAATAAGCCTTCCAAAATTTATACTGGTAATAGTGAGGACTGGTATTTGCCCAGATTGTTGACTTTGCTTAGTAGCCAAAGGTATAAATCTATACACACACCATACAAAAAAGCACTTATTTGCATATTTTGTTTTACTGTAGAGAAACATATATCAACCCCAATAAAACTGTCAGCAAATCCAGAGCAATAACAGTTCAGTCATTGTCCTAACGTTCCTGCCACAAAAGGCAGCATCACCTTACATAGTTTCTTATATGCCAGAAACACAACAAGTTGCATAAAGAATATGTATTCTCTTTCTTACTTTGCAGCAGTGTGAGAAGATCTGACATATGTATTCTTGTGTATATCGAGACCTACTGAGCAGAGCCATGAGGTGGGAGATAACTGTAGCATCCTGGAAACAAGTCAGAAAAGAAAAAAGTATTAACATTGTATTTCGGCACAGTTTCTTCACAGTTTGTTACTTAAAAGAGTACTCCAGATTCTGCATTCAGTGTTCTCACTTCCACTGAAACTTGGACGGACACAGGAGAAGACCATAAAGTAGTACAGAAGAAACTTCAAGGCATGAGTGACAGTTCTGAGCCAAATCCTCAAGGAAAAAACAAGAGGTCAATACAAGTTAGGTATAAAACTTCTGGGATTTGTCTCCAGAATCTTTACTTCATGAGGAAATGACAGAAGAATGGGGGAAAGAAAAACATGCCAACTCCAAACATGGTCACTGAAAGCAATTACTCCTGGAGCCGTCTTAGTGTTTTCTTACTACAACTGTGATTTACTTACCTCTTCATTTCAGCTCCAAGTAGTAAAGAGCAGGGAGAGGAACAAAGTGCCAGACTGAACAATGTACAGGTCACCTTGAATTCTGTGGCACTCAGTTTCTAACTGATTAATGTGGGGTAATAATTTCCATTGACTTTAAGTCAAACACACACTATAGATGCTATTAGTATGTGCGACACTAACGACAGAGAATTCCAAATACATCAGCAAAAGAAAATCCTTATACTGAAGTTCCTTTCTGAAAACACAGTTACTCAAGCTCTGTGGTTAAGTTACAAAATCACCTTTTCAATCTTTCAGTTACTTTTAACAGTACATTTTAGCAGCAGCAACTGCAGTGATATTAAAAGAAACACTAGTCATTTTAGTTTGGAAAGGCGGAAAACTAAATTACTTTCATGCAATAAAGTGTGCTGAACAGAGGAGACGAAAGACTGAATGAGTCTTCCTTTCCAACGAATTTATGCTATATTAACCCTATAGAAGCCAGTCAGACTTTTTGTTTTACCTGCAGGAGAATGATGGATTGCAACCCTCTGACTAGGGACAGGTAGATTAAAATTAGAGCAAAATCTTCAGCTACTTTTACAGTAATGAAAGTAGCACTTGCCTGAGTGTTTTAATGACTATAGCTTCAGAGATACACAGTTGTTTATGAAAAGTTTTATTTCCCAATTACTTGGGAAATTTCCAACCACACTTTTTTACATTAGCAAAATAAATGTGTGTAAGTCTCTCCTATTTGCATCCATACTTCAGGTTAGGCAAAGCTTTGCAATATTTACTTTTTTATT